AACTGGTTATTGGATATAAAGGACCGACCCAGCCCAGGCATCTCCTATGAAGATGATTTTTTCTCTTTTTTTATTATTATTGTTTTTCAATTTTAGTCTTCTTACACTATCATTTATAAAATAAATTAGTATTTCATTATGTTGTATTTAGTAAAAGAATTTTAATTTCTGTATTGTATTTAATGTTTAGAAATACCTGTTTTGCACATTGTATGATTATGTACAAATCCTGACTCATCGTAGATGGCTTACGCTGTATTTATGTGGCAAATGTTTTTCAGCTGTTTTTATATTTCAGTTTTTTCAAAAGTTCTGAAAATTTCAGTCTTGATTAGTAAATATGAATATTTATGAAAATACTTAAAGATTAGTTTTAGCTATTGGATACATTTAAATAATGTCACTTTCAAATAATTTTATGGAACAAAAATGTAAAATTTTTTTTTTACTTTCCAAAAGAAGAATGGTTTAAGAATAAATTAAAGAGACTGGGACCCATAGTGGCAAAACTCGGAAGCAGTAGTGGTTCCTTCTGTTTATCAGGTTTCCAGCAAAGCCATTTTTTAATTTGTTCTCATAAAAAAACAAAACCCTGTTGTTTTTTAAGTAGATAGTATCAATAAGGTTTTCTGAGAGTGGCTTAGAAAGCCTGAAGAACAATTTTAAAATCTTTGTAAACTGGATCTCAGCTCCTATTTGTTGATAAAAACTTAGGAAATAAGGATTGGCAATAATGCACATTTCAAAGTAATATTTGATCTTTCTGAAACTTCTTGAAATTGGAATGAATCATTCAGGTTCATGAAGGAAAGTTGAAATTCAGCAACATGTTTATTTATTTTATTTCTGATGATACATTTTAGGCATCTTTGGCATGATTGCACAATAGTTATATCTCATGAATTTACCATTTACAGAAACTATTTTGATAATTCAATTAATATTTTCATCAAGTAATAGAAACAGCAAAATTATAAATTAAAATTAATAAAGAACTTAGAAAACAATATTGAAATATACTCATCAGTCTAGTTCTAGTTGTGCTAATTATTTTCAATTCCTGCGGAATTGTTATGCATTTGATGCACACTCTAAACAATAAGTGCAAATCTCTCTAAAAGTCATTTTAAAAAAATGATTTTCAAGTAGAAAGATTTAAACATCTATTTTGTAATTTGATTTGGACTGCACTTTAATTGTTCCATAACTAATTAAATACAGAATTCATAAGTTACATAGTCTCTGACCAGATACAAGTTACCCAACAATTACAAAAAATAATTTAAGCAAACATAACTTTTTACAAATTTTTAAAAATAAATGTGTATGTATTTAATTACTTTTGGGGAAAAAGAGTATTGAAAGTAAAAATTGGTTAATCCAATGTATTTCACTGTTTAGAATTCCCTCAAAATTGTGAATCCCAAATAATTCTGAATACCAATAAGAACTCTAAAATATTTCAAGTAATTCAGATAGAAAAAATCTTCTGATGAAAAAATGAAGTCCCAAGTGAAAAGGTTTTACAGATCACATTATGCTATTTAACTAAATTGAAAATTAAATTATTCTATGAAACATCAAACCATTTTGATTTGTTCAGACACTAAAAAAATCTTGAACAGAGAAAACATAAATATGGTCATCAAGAAATAACACTTATAAGTTCAAAAATTTAATTTTAACTCCTAAAAAATGACATTTTTAGATACTTAACATTGCAATCTCATTCAGAACAGAGACATACCCAGAAGAGCAAAATAAGTAACTTCTGATATCACTGTTAAGAATTAACAGTTGCCTTCTCATTCTCAATGGATCACAGATCATAATGAACATATTTTAAAATTATAAAATGGGTTTTGATTGGAGATCATAGTCTTTGTGATTTGTACTAACAGTGATTAAATTAAAACAAATAGTCTAATAGTTCTTTGTTTCAAACTTTCAAAATATGTTGTTTAAAAACTGCACTTTCTACAAATGTTCAACAAGCAATGATGTATCTTAATTGCTTCATTTAGATGACAAAATATTTCAATGGTAACAAAATGATCCTACTATCAATGTAATAATTTTCAGAAACCATTTCATAATAATTTGTTGTAATGGAAAGAAAGCACAAACATCTCACACATGTACTCTTGGGAAAGTTCACTACTCAATTTTGAAATTAATGTTCTAAAGATATTTGGTAAGAACATTTCAAATATTTCATTAATGAGAGAAGAAATATTGTGTTTTCTCTCAAGCACATTCTTCAATGCTGCATTCATAGCATGTAAGAGGTGAGAGAAAATGCCCATGATGGAAACGCTACTCTAATTATCCTAGAGTCCTTTCATGAGATGTAAATATGAACAAATCCAGATCAACTGGTGCTTTATAAAAAAGTAATATTTCTATTGATTGCTGTAAAAGAAACATAACATGTACCATTTTCACAAGCCAGCAAGACAGTAACTTCTGAAATTTTTAACTTCACAACCACAAAAACCATTGCTTGTCAAATCATTTAAGTGTATGCTTAAGTGCTAAAGAACAAGAAGTTTCTTAATGTTTACCAGAAACAAAGAATTGTTGGTGACATTGAACTCAGTTTTATGAATAATACTAACAATTCTGAGGTATCTTCAAACAACCATTTGAAATGGCAATTCATTTCAGTTATTTTCCTCTTCAAAATTGTTTTATCAGTAGCAATCTAATTGTCGCATAATTTCAAATAAATTAGATTGTTTCCACAATTCCTTTATTAAATTTAAGATCAAAAATAAAGTTTAGTTAATGTAATTTCCTCATAACTAGAAGCATTTCAAAAAATAACAATTCATCTCTACAATCCATTCTAAAAATATTTAGCAAGTTTTAAGCAAGAGTTATGTGAATGGGAACATCAAGACATTTCTTCAAAACAAATATTTTGGCAACAGATTACAATTAAGCGGTTTTTATTTGAGATAAATCTTTTATCAAACTGCAACTTTATGTTCAAATAACTCATTTTCGACCATATGAAGCTCAAAATTATTCAGTCAAGACCAAGTTTGTTTAATATAGTGAAACAAGTGTAATCAAGAATATTTTTATTTTCAACAAATTCCCAAGGGTTTGTAAGATTGACAGTTCTTTTCTCTACAAGAAAGACATGCTCCTACTGCATATTTGAATAATGAGTAATTTAATATTGCAAGCACACTTTTTACGGAGATTTCCATGTACACATTCTACACTCCATGATTTGTTGCCTTTTATTAGGTTATTTATTTTCTTAATTAGGTTATTAATGTAAATAAGTTATTTTCACATTATAATATGTCAAAAAATGAACACAAAATCTGCCATTATTTGACAGTAGACAGGTACCTGCTATTTTGTGCAGTGACATTTCGCTGATTCTTTATGTATTCTTTGTTTCTCAATCAACGCATGACATTCTTCCTTAATTTAATCATAAAATGAACACATTTTGAAATATCAGCCACTTTCTACATTTTGGAACAGAATCAGAACATTAGTTCATCAAATAGTTTAGAAAAGTGAACCCATAACTCAAAAAATAGGGTTGTCATTTGTCACATTGCAGGTTTTATGGGGAATACACAATTTTTGTTGCAGTATATGTGTAGCCTGTAATGAGCCAAGAACAAAATGTCCTTTATTTTCTATGCTTAAATTTCATGGAGGTTGTGGAATTTAAAGAAGTTGATAGCAGCAATGTAATGTCTATGTAGATTGTATTATAATTTCATGTGTTAATCAGATTAAGTTCATCTTTATTCCTTGGTTCGTCCGCGAGATGGGTTCCATGCTTGCAAGAAAAGGTAGTAAGTAAAGGTTCTGACACCAAAAAAATTAGAAGTGCATATTACAAATAATTATGAAAATACACAGAAAAAATTTGAAGTTTTTTAATTAGTATGGTAATTCTGTATTTTCTCCCAATTATTCAATGAATTCAATTCCTGCAACAGCCTTGATGTGCAAGATTTTATCTTGGATTTTGATAATCCTATAAAATGAAATCAAGTTACATTATTCTCAAGTGGTCAAATTTTTAATCCAATGTAAATTAAAAAAGTTTATGTACTGCAATAATCTGAATAGGGCAAATAACGTTTTTAGTCTAACAATATTTTAAATCAATTATTCATCTTTTCTATAAGAGACCATTTAAAAAATTACAACGCATAAAATATTTCTAAAGGGAACCATTTGAAAACAAAGTACAAATGCCATATTACAGAGTAAAACAGATTCTGAAAGAATAAGGGCTGAGATTTTTGATATTAAATACTTGAAGACAATAAATTGGTGCCTGTACCAATTTTTAACCAATCAGGGACAAAGATAATAGGCAAATCACTTTCAACTGAAGATGTATAATGATCTGAATCGCTCTTCAATCCAAAGATATAATTAATGATCTGAACAACAATCAGTACATAGTATATACTCAATTTAATAACATAATCAATTTTATTAACATATTTAAAACACAACATAATTTTGGTGAAAATCAAAAATGAAATGTAAGAATTTTAATCTAAATATTTTCTTTTCATTTCAGACTTCAGAATGAAAATTCTTTTTAAACAGCAGTGTAATAAATTACATAAGAACTAACTGTATGTCACTCTTTAAAACCCAAGCTAAATAATATATCTTTCTAAGCTACCTAAATAAATATTTTATTATCTCTTTTTTGCCACTCTCTATTAAAAAATAAAGCTGAAACAATATACTTTTACAGGTATTTTCTTAATGCTTAATTAGATCACACTTCTACATTCATGCAAATAGACTGCCATTAGTTAGTTATTTGATTTAAAACATCACTAATATGAAACTACAGAATAGAAAGTAGTCTTTGTGATTATCTAGTGGAAGGTTTATTCACAAAACACTAACTTTTTCATGCAGCCTGTTATGATACTTGATGTGTTTCTTTTCCTATTATTTTCTAGGAAATTTTGTCTCACAAAGTAATGCAAAAAATATATAAATAACAACTTTGGGCCTAACAGTCAACTCGACGACTGATAGACTATTGACACACTACCATCATAGAAGAAAACAACACATGACCCTCAGAATACATATAGTTACTGTAACAATTCATTTTACTACAACACTAAGCAATGTGATATCACAAATTTGTAACAATTTGAATATTTCTACAACAAAATACAAAGTTTCAGACAGAGGTAATTCATTGCAAAGAGCTGTACACAAATGAAAAGACAACAACTAGATGTATCCTACTGATCACAAACACATCCCATGTTTGTGTCCAATCAGTGGATGGAATGGTGCTAATACAAGTGTATTACCCAGTAAATCAGTGGGTCTTTGGAAAAGGGGGCTACGAAGTGGCAGTAGCTGCAGCCTGCACTGCAGGTTCTACAACGGGTTGAGGCGGCGGAGGTGGAGGGTTGCTTCCAATCTGTTGGGAATGCTGAGAGGAGTGGGATGAAGAGCGTGAATGTTTTCCACCAGCGGGAGCAACCGATGTTTGCACTTGTGGCAATGGAGGCGGTCGAGGACCTGGAGCAGCGCCTTGTTGAAGCTGCATGTGATAGCGATAAATGTTCTCAGTGCTTTCCACTATACCTGATATAAAAGAAAGATAATTATTTCTCCTGTATGTGCATACAAAGTAATTATTTCCAAAGAGTACAATTTTAAAGACATTCTTCTCGTTGCACTTGAACATGAAAACAACATAGCCTATTTAAAAATATCAACCAAAGTAAGAACCTAAACAATTCTTCAAGGGTTTTTATTATATAAACTTGAATTATTAATCAACTAATCAATCCCAAATTATTACAAGAGCAAAGGGAAAATTAGCTTAATTCTCACTGATGTTGTCAGAATTATTGCGTTATTTCTATTGCAAATATACATACCAATTGCCTGTAAACATTACTGGGTACTTTGAATCTCATTTAAGACTGAAACTGAGCTTACCAGCAGTAAGATTTAGGCTACGACCCTTAATGCCTCCTTCTTTACTAGGGGGTGACCACCAATTTACCAAAGAACCAAACACAGGAACATGTCGCAAAATCCCTTCCTGCCATAAGCGTTCTTCATTTTCTTTCTGAAGGTCCAAAGTAGCAGTCTCAATTCCTGCAACACAATTAAACATACACATATTTTCCCTCCTTATTTTAGGTTTAATCTTCAATAACTCTAATGCCCACTGCAGAAGAAGACACAATTTAATTCTGATCTAAATCATTCACTCAATATTAACATGAAGCAATATGAAAGGTCTTGAGTATTCACACAATACCAAAAATACACATAGTAATAATTACACAATACTAAATTAAAAACAATTCAAATATAATATTGTATAATTACTACTATGGTGTACATTCTGGATTAAATATGTTTGTGTGCCTGAATGAAGATAGGTATTCATTAACTCTTCTTTAACATACCTTTCTTGACTATTTCTGTCATAGTCTCAATGAATTTGGATGACTCCTCCACTTCCTGCCCAACTCCAACAACTAGTCCAAGGAGTTCTTCCACGTCAGTCTCTGCTGTTACCATTCCAAACCGAACACACACTAAACCATCTGCTCCCTCACCTAAAAATTATAAAAAGAGAATATAAATATTTATTAGATTTCACATCTAGAAAATTTTCCAATTTAATGATAGCTTCTGAATGTAGAAACTATAAAGTTCTTATATTCTAGTTAATGACAATATAAAATGGAAGAACTAGTCAAATCTTCAAAGCTAATATCAACTGTAGCTTTGAATTCTGATAACTTGTTTTTTTTCCTCAACTATTCAGTTACAATTTCATGTTCCATCACTCTTCACTCATTATGATCACAAATATTTTCTTAGAAATAAAATTAATTTTCAACGTGCCACATACCCAACGAAAAAGCTGCATCTGTACTGCGCAACTGTTCCACCAATTGCATATTGAGCCTATTGAGTTCCTCCCTGGCCTGGTCTGTCAGCAGCTGCTCCCAAGCCTCAGGCACATATCGCACACCACCCAAGCCCGCCCAGCCAGGCATCTCCACCAGGCGCAATCGGGGATTTGACGTAACCAACTGCTGGAAGGTTTCTTTGTGCTGCACTGTGGCTGTGAGAATGTCCTAGGAAAAAATAGACCCCCAAAGTACATTAGTAATTCTGCCGCATGCCAATAATATGTAGCCTATTCAATGACTCAATATTTCACATAAATCTTTCAAAAGTGATCTATAAGAACACTTCTTTCCTCTGAAAATTATTCTAAATAAAACAATTCAAAAACTTCTAACTAATTAACTAACTACACATAACAAAAATTGAATGACATTTAAAAACAACATATTCTGAATTTGAAACTACATATTATCCATTCAAACTAAATTGATAACAAAACTCAAAGTGAACTGTTTTAAAATCTGTTGTTGAAAGTCTTGTGACATCACAATACTCCAATTTTCAGAATCAAGAAAAGGGCATAGGGAGGGGAAAAAAGCGACATACCAATTGTTGCTCAACACACTGCACAAAAGCTTCAATGTCATCCAAAGAAGGCTGCCTATCAGTTCCCATTTCTAGAGGACAATATCGCAAGACCACACCATTAGTTTCCAATTCACATATTTCTATGGGAATCTGCGATGCATCTCGCTGAAGTATTTGGCCAAGCTGACAAAAATGAAAACAATAATTAAGTGATGCCAATTCTGATACCCTTCATATATTATAACATAATAATAATAATAATAATAATAATAATAATAATAATAATAATAATAATCTACCTACATTAATAAATTAAGATAATTTATAATAAAATTCCATACAATATTATGCTTTTCCAGTTCTTACCCAAGAATTCAACTTATCATAATATGGAGGAACTCTTCCTTCTACAGGCTCACCATTATTAACCGGTATGAATTGGAAAACAACTGTGCATGCCACAACTTCAAAGAGAAGCTGAAACACAACACATGAACAATTTTGTAAATAAAGTAATTATTACACCTCTGACAATTTAATTTAAGTTTCTCCCCACACGTATAACAAAGTACTCACAGATGTATTCATAGGCTTTGTAACTAATTCCGCCACTGCATATGTTCCTCCTTCACCACCAGGTTGCTGACTCTAGACAGATCAAAAACAGGTTTTTGAGAGCATAGCACCCAATCGAAAACCAATGACATAATTACCATAATATGAAGCTTCTCTGGTCAATTCAACACATTTTAAAGCAAATCAAGATTTAAGCTATTTCTTTATTGCACATATAATGATAAATGCATTTCTTACGTATTTTTCTCCATATTAGAGTTATTTTGGCACTTTAAGTCTTTGAGATGTTTCTGGACAGGAAGGCCTTGCACCTTAATTGATATTGATATATAAAGAATCAAAAATCTACTTTCTTTTAAAACTTTAAAGTTTTAACCGTAAGGTGGTGAATGACTACTACTCTACAAGGTGTGCTTAGCAGAGCAAGAGAAATGTTACCTCAGAATTAATTTTGGAAGAGTTAATTCCAAAAAAATATCTACAGTGTACTTTGTGTGTGTGTGTGTTTTTTAATTTATTTGCTTTTTTGAGATGTTTTTATACTAACAAGAAGTATCTATGAGAAGCAACTCATAAATTTTTTTAAATAATTTTTGTATACAAACATAACTCTGAAGAGAACTGAAATGTTGGTGGACTGATTTTTAATACTTAAACATATTAGTAGTTACAATATTATGATTACATTTTTTAATTGTTTATGAATGTGTCTGGTTAACTGGCACAAATGGTTTCTTGCTATTGCAATAGTTTTGCAAGAGACCAATAGGAGAATTTGGTATTCTACATACTTCATTTACATATTTTATCGTTTAAATAAATTACAATTATATATTTTTAACACACATTTTTGCATACTTTTAGTAATTACAACCAAATGCATACTTCAATATTCTTTATTATTTATAAATCACAGCCCTTGTAATGAGAATTGGGACAACCAAACGGGAACCCAAGCAATGAACACATGGGGCCCTGAATGATGATACAGCAACAGCAGTAATGGACTATAACTGATCTACCTTCATCTCATAATTTCGTCTATTGATAAAATCACTGTTCATTCTTATAAGGAACTAACTATAACAAGATGCTATCAATTAACAAGGATGCTTAAATTGCATTACCAGTAATCGTAGACACTGATACTTGGACAGCCTTTTCCAGATATGTTCACTGGATTCAAATGCCTGGCGAATTCTACTTTGGACTCCTTCTCTCCCTAATGCCTGCAAAATAATTGATAATTTAACTAGTAATAATTGTAGAAATATAAGATATAGCAACATTAACGTGTTGTCTGCCAGGAGTGTGTTGAGGCTACCAGCAGCCACATGGCAGACAAGGTGTTAAACAAATGATTCTAGTTAGCAACATGTAATACTACTGACAAATAGAATTAAAACTGATATGTAATAAAGATCAGTGTGTAAATGAGGGTTAAGTTATCTCTAATCAGTGAAGCTGTTTATTCCTAATAAAAAATATGGTATTTTTATACTTACTCACAGATTATTTTTTAAATTACTGTAAACAACATAACACTGTTCACTACAATGTTTCCATACCTGCAAAACTGTCCATAAAGATAGGCAATTAAGACGTCGGGAAAAGCTATCACTAGTAAGACCTGCTACAAGAGGAAGAGTGCTCTCTCTTGCCACACCTACAGTGGATACTGGGCGTGCTTGACGTGTGATAGCAGAATCGAATAAGCGGTACAGAGTCTACAGAAATATTAAGAAAAACAAAGAAAAATATGCAAATTTTCAAAGTTTCAATGTTTAATCTAAATGTACTGATCAGATGCTTGAAATTAAATTTATTGATTTTTACTCATTAAGTTTCACAAAACATCAGTTTCATTATTTAAGTGGTAAGTTTTCGGTGGTAAGGGGTCTGTTTTTGAATAATGCATAATTGATGTGTCAAGAAACACTTTTAAGCAGGCTGGATACAACAGATTACATTGGAGGTCTGGCCTTTGGGAATTTTTCCCAAGGTGGGGGGAAAACCCTTTCATTTTTTTTTTTTTTTAAATCTATTTTTTGGAATTTTTTTCTTAATTTTCATACAGTTGCAATTCATGGTCTCCCCATTAATATTCTCTTTCTTTTATCCTCTGTAGGTATATCATTGTTAGGCACAAAAGGAATCTATACTACATACATAATTCATAATAGTGGTTATGATATAAATTTAAAAAAGGCAAGTATTGCGCAAAATTATCTAGAAAGAGTACATAAATAATATCAACATGTACATAATACATGTGTGATATTCATTTTGTCATGATAATAAAAAATTACAGACATAAAAGCCAAGAATCATCTTATGTTCAGGTAAAATATGGTAAGATAATTTACTGAAAAAATTGACAAAGAAACTCATACATTTATCCATTCATTAAATCACAACTAAAAGGCTGGTTGATCTTACAAATGTCTACTGTATTTTGTAGATTTGAACACACATTAACTGTAGCTGTTAAGGTATGCATGTTTAATGAAAATACCACAATATAAGTATTTGAAAAAAAAACTAATAAAAACAATACAATTGTTCAATCTGGTATATTCAACACTGATAAATTTGCAATATTGAATAATTTAAAGAAACGTTTGTGAATCTTGACTCTTCATATATGAACTAATATTTAAACTGCAGCATGAATTTAAATTATCAAAAGGAACATAATACAAATAATTTAAAGACTGCAATTTAAGGTTTTCCAGTATAATAAAAATTCCTTACTTCTAACGAGGGCCCATATTCCTGGAGACAAGAATGTTGAGGTTACACACAAACTGCACGTCTTTTGAAGACACATTGAGAATACCACAGTTAAACTATGGATAATAAAGTTGAAATACTTAAAAAAGGAAAAAGGCTAAAAAGACATTTAAAATTTCCCTTGGAGTTTGGGGGGGGGG